AACATCTCAGGCTATCAAAATGTATTATGAAATTACACCTTGTTAGTTAACAAGAAGTACAGTAAACTCAAGTCAAAAGAAAAAAAATAGTGTTTTATTAACTACCACACTGTTATAATACACTTTAAACGTACAATAAGGTAGCCTTTAAATTTGAGGTGGTTTTAAGAATAACAAATGAACAGATTTCCAAATGTTTGTAAATAGGTGAACTGCAGTAATTATTGTTGTACATTTTTTGAAAATGGTATAGCACTTACAGACTGGCTATATAACTTCATTTTGTACATTTTTCTATAATTGAAAATATAAACAGTAATTAAAAAATAAAAAGAAAATTCAGCATAATAAAAAACATATATGTTTATCAGTTAAATGTACTGGATACATACAATTTTTAAGGGAAGAAGCAAAAAAGGAAAGATGGCTGATATTTAAATGCAGATTGACTAACCAAAAACTAAACAACAAACAAATAAAAACCTCATAAAACCCCTAGTTCGCTATGACTATATCCATATGTTTGGGAGTACTGTCAATATGGAAGTGATTTTTCTATTGTATTTGCATATGTTGTATTTTACTGGTAATTTACATGATGGCTTTTAAGGCCCTGGCAGACAGATGTTTTTTGGAAAAAGATTTGATTAAAATCACTGCTGAGACGCAATACACCTTATTTTTGGTCCTCCAATGTTCAAAAGAAGGGATATACTTCACGATAACGTTTGCCTTACCACCCAAATGCCTCAACCTATACATATTTATTTTTTTTTTAACATTTTAAGCTTTTTAACATTGGTTATATTGCCCACCTTGGTTATTGAAAGAATATTAACAAGACATCATTTTGGCAAATTAAATCTTAAACATGGCTTTTCAATAGGATTTAAAAGGTGACTATCCCTAGAGTTCCATGTTAAAATGTAGTTTTCAAAATCTTACAAGAGTAATGCTTAAAATATTGTACATAGTTAACCTAATTAAAATAATTAGCTTCAAAATGACAAGTTGATGAGCTAAGTAAAGCCTACACTATGTAACATTTGCTTGGAAACTTGATTTGTCAGTTATGCATAATAAAAATTCCAGTCATCAAGAAAATTACAAAATTTCTTTTATCATAACATGATTTCTTTTCACCCATCAACTTCTTTTATCTTACAATAGATAAATACCAACATGTTCTCATTTTTTTACACTAAACCACACAGGATTGATGCATTTGGTTAGACTACCATTTCCATCGTTAAATTCTTTTTTTTTTTAATATAACTTGGTAAAATTTCATCTCTTCTAGATTCCAAAAGTACCTACAAAACCCATGCAATTTTACCATTTTAATATACTATGGAATATCATACAAAGTAAGGCATTTCAGTGTCATGTATAACCAAGTTACTGTCAATCCAAAAATTTTTGCACATCAATAAAAAGATATCTAAGAACTTAGGAACAATATTCTTCTCACTACTGTATAAAAATAACCACAATTAATAGGTATCTTGTGTAATATTTACTCCATTGTCTCGTTTCCCGAAACTGTGACAAGCTGTAAAGGTATTTCAGTGTTGGTAAGAATATCCTGATTGCTGGTGCCAGATGTATTAACAGTTCCTATTCCTGAAACAGAACCTTGTTGAATATTTGCAAGGATAAGTGTCGTTCCTCCTGCAGTAATCAAAGTATCATCAGGTGTTGCTTCTACTGATGCCAGCACTGTACTGCTAGAGTGAATACCTTTTTTATTCTGATGTGTTTTAATGTGTTTGGCAAGGTGGTCACTTCTCATAAAGCGTTTTGAACATTCTGGACAGACAAATTTCTTCTCACCTGTCACAGAAGAGAAGAAAAAAAATGTTTTCAAGAACATTAAAAATATCACATGTACATCAAAAACTGAGATAACTTACTGCCTCTAAGAGTCAGAATTCTAACAACATCTATACTGAAGAAAAAAGTGATCCAACATGATAAACCTGCGTGTTACATTTCTAGACACCCATACAAATCCTTTAAAATAATTGATTTATTTTTCTGTGCCTGACTGCGTTTGGGGAGATCTTTCAGGCAAGCTAAAGAACATTGTCATCTCATGTCCTCAGGCTGCTAAGTTTCACTGCAATTATTACTGATAAATAACTCTTAAGAGGAGAAGAAAACCTGCCGAATGATGGACAGGGAAGACCACATGAGCTCCTGCAGAATCACACTTGACACTGACAGACAAGATCATACGGTAATTCAGGTTTGAAGGGACCTCTGGAGGTCTCTAGTCTGATCTCTCTCTAAGCAGGGTCAGCTACGAGGTCAGATCTGGTTGCTCAAGAATTTATCCAGTTTGGTCTTAAAAAACCTTTAAGGATGGAGCCTGCAGAAATTCTCTGGGCATCCTGTTCCAGTGCCTGGCTGTCCTCACAACAAAAAAGTTTTTATTTGTATCTGGTCTGAACCTCTCTTGTTTCAACTTATGTCTGTTGTCTCTCATCCTCCCACCAATGCAGCACCATGTCTTTGTCTTCTTAATAGTGTCCTTGCAGGTACTAGAAGGTTGCTATTAAGCTCCCCCCTGCCCTTACTCTTCTCTTTGTGCAGCTGAATAAGCCCCAGTTCCTACAGCCCCTCCTCATAAGGCAAATGCTCCAGCTTCCTGATCATCTTGGTTGCCCTTTAGTGAACTCAATCCTGTTGATCAATGTCTTTCCTATACTGTGGGCTGAAAACTAGGTGCAATATTCTAGATGTAGTCTAACCAGTGCTGAGAAGAAGGGGATAATCGCTTCTCTAGAACTAGTGCCTCTGCTTCTGTTGATACAGCCCCACCATCTTTGCTGCTGGCTCTTGCTCATGTTCTTCTTGTCCATCAAGACTCCCAGCTACTTTTCAGGAGAGCTGTTTCCCAACTAGTCAGTGCTTAGCCTGTGTTACTGCAAGGGTTAATTCCATCCCAAGGTGCAGTACTTTGTGTTTATCCTTGCTGAATTTCATAAGGTTCCTGTCAGCCCATTCCTTCAGCCTGAGTCCCTCTGAATAGCAGCCTTGCCTTCAAATGCATTGACCGTTTGCCCCACTTTTGGTGTCATCCGCAAACCTAAGCGGAATGCACTCTGTTGCCTCCTCCAGGTCAGTGATAAGGACATTAAAACAGGTCAAAGGACAGATCCCTGCATTTCTCTACTTTTTGTACCTGTGTGCAGGTACACTAGGAACCATTAACCATACCCTCTGAGCTGGATCATTCAACCAGCCTCTTTTTTTTTAAACCCATCTGGCTGGCTGTCCATCCAGACAGACCGTAACATCCAAGCTTGGGTTCAAGCATCCAACATGTCTAACAAAAGCACACCTTAGGTACAAAACATGAAATAGTTTTCATAGACATTGCAGACAGTTTTCTAAGCAATGTAAATGCTGATAAGCACATCCTGTAGAATATAACTATGGGTTCAGTTTGTAGGAAAATAGGTAATACAGACAATAGATTTGAAACAAACTGCACCTTGAAAAGGTGGAAGACTTAATTTCTTGTCTTTGTATGAGGCAAAAGGAGAAATGTGAACCTGGAGTCCCTAGTGGGTGGACTAACCATGAAACCAGAAGATGTAGAATGATGCACCATCACATGTCTTCCTTGATTCGGTGAATGACATGTAATCTCTTGGACATCTAGCCCTCTATTTTTATTTTTCTTTTTTAGAATGAGAGAAAATTATTAACGTTTTAAGCTGGAACAACAGTTCTAATCTGGTTCAAACAAATGAAATGCATTGCCGAACTTAAATAAAAGTATTCTGATTAAGCTGTATTAAATATTAGCTTAAATGTCAGTTCTGAATCAAAAAAGTAGCTGTTTTCCCTCCTCAGACCTGCTAAAGAAACGGAAGTGTATACATAGCTCTAAGTATTAGCTGATTTTAGAAAAGTCACGCTACATTGAAATCAATCCAATACAAAGATCTGTTCTCCTCTTAAAAGTTACTTATCCAAGCCCTCTCCATGACACGTCTTTAGTTAAATGCACCAGAATCAAAGATTGAAAACCTGTGTGCGTTCTTCGGTGTCGCTGAAGCTCATCGCTGCGAGTGAACCTTTTGCCACAGAACATCCAGGTACAAACAAATGGACGCTCTCCAGAATGCCAGCGGAGGTGAGCTCTCAAATGTGAAGTTTTCCCATATACTTTGCCACACCCGGGTATGTGACAAATGTGTTGTTTCTTTTTTCCCAAGTTGGAGCCTCTGTTAAAAAAAAAAAAAGTTATTAATTCTAATACATTCCTCCTAAATGCTGGTCGTACATATAAGTGGGGTTACATACACCAATAGACCTGCAAACAAACCTGAGCATCTTCCCATTTTTCATTCAAAAACAATCAGAATCCAGCACGCTCCATAAGAACCTGGCACTAAATTCTATAATGCTATCCCGACTCTGCAACAAACTAAAAATTCAACAGGATAGGAAATTTAAATCATAGAAGTGTAATCTTTAGCAAGTATACATGTATATGAAGTTGGAAAAACAGTCACTACATCAGTTTGTACTACTTTGATGCTGAAGTGCCCATATTTTAAATTTCTCCCAGTTTCAGTTTTTACCATACCAAAGACAGTTTTGGCAAAGAAAAACACAAATGACTGCAATTGCCAAAACAGAAACTGGGGGTTTTGGCAACTGGGAAGAGAACAGATGGGACTTCTGGCATCTTGGGGAAACCTGAGAAGCAGTTTGGTTGGAGGACAAGCATACTAACCTGAATATTTCCACTAAAAGGAGTGGCAGTTAAACAGCTGATCTTGCTGACATTTAAATTAATTCCTCAGTACTTCAGGAAAAAAAAAAAAATCCATCAAAATTAACACATAATTCACAGATAGTATAATCCAGACTACTGAGCTTGATGCCTATTTTGAGGTGCTGCCTCACTGAAGTGGTAGGTGATTGATTCAGGAGAAGCACCTAACACAAAAGCCTAACTTTTTTTTTCTTTTTTCGTCTTTTTTTTTTTTTTCTTTCAATAAAACCACCAGAGAGAGATAAGAGCTTCTGAAGACCCTGAGAAAGAGATCAGCCTGGCCAGCACAGGGCATCATGATTGATTTTAGCCAACCTAAGTGTTTGCTGCTGCTGAAAGAGGCACTCCAGGGAATAGATCTGGCTGACAACGCAGCTATATGAATGGTAAATGCTGGTACAAGGGAGGAGATTGGAAAATGCAGCCAAGCATCAGGCCACCTTATTCATCAGCAATGTTAACTTAGAACAGCTTAAGTGGATTCTGAAATCACAGTCTTGAGCACTCCATCCTCCATGACTGATTATACAATTTTCAGTTGCCTCCACAGAGCAATTTTTTTCCTTAAATTGGGTGCTCAACTTCTGCTTAACCGTCCAGTGGCTGAAGGATTTGCCAAGCCACTGGCTTAGACCTGGATTCTCATTCCCTGCATTCAGAACAATTCTAGTTTACTTCTAATGAGAGTTCAGGGTAAAATGTATGTACACTTTAAGGAGCCAGCACTTCGAGCAAGTATTTTGGAACAGGCACAGAAATTAACTCACTCTAAAAACTCACAGCATCTAAAGGGAATTCCAGCCTAAGCACATATGCACCCAGAACATCCAGAAAATTAAGGAGATAAAACCAAGTAAGTCCTAGAAAATGTTTCTAAGAAGCGATATTCATAGTGCTTTGTTAGTCATTTTGCCTCAGAAGAAAAAAACATCACTTTTACATAGTAATTATTTGCCATGACAATGTACGTTTTGACTTCAGAACAAATTCAATGACAGAAGTAGAGAGTCCAGAAGGCTTTTGACCCTGCTGCGGTAGCAGTAGGCTCATATGAGCCTATGGATATGGTGACAGAAGAGATTCTGCTTATCTAATTTTTTTTGTTTTATTGCCACTCCTCTACCTTTAGCCTCACAGAAAGTTCACCTGCCTGTTTTATCCAGCTTGTTTATAAATTTCACGCAAAAAACTCTCTGACATCTGACCTGACATCTTAAGCTCTTCCATCATTATTAGTACTGGCAACAATACTTTTGACTTAATTTTCCTTTTTCAAATGTCCCAGAGAAGATCACTTATTTGGACCAGACAAACATTGCCTTTTTTCCATCTCCTGCTTCCGCTGAAACATCCATTTTTGGTAACCTTTGCTACATCTGAACTGCCAGGTTCACATTCTTCCATGACCTTCCCTCAAGCCAAGATTAAAAAGCAAAATTAGTTGTAACATCAGGCATTTAACTTTGTACTATGCCACCTACACAAAAGCTGAATATTCACAAGTTTTGAACATTCAAGTTTTGAACATTCAGCCAATCTCAAATGCATTTAGCAGAATACCTTTAGATTGTCACCTTTCTTTTCTAGTTTCTTAGACACTGCATATGGCTAGGCCACCACACAAAACTCACTGTACCTGTAACAGTTCCAGTGGCCCAAAACACCAAGCTCCCTGGACTACAAGGAAGAAATTTTGTGTATTCCTCCTTTTGCCTTACTGCAACCAGTTCCACAGTTCTCAGGCTCCACATTCACCTTCATCTAATGATTTCAGTTCTAGACAGCTCTTCCTCAGGTTCTCTTGTTTGGTGGCTCAATGCATCCAGCAATTGAGGTGCAATTGGGGTGTTCCTGTGTCTTTAATTGGCTGTCCAACTCCATCTAATCCTAAGAAGTGCTCAGCCTGTGCTTATTTTAACAAAATGTATTTCTGCATTTGAGAATATATTTCTGTATATAAAATATTTTTCTGTATTTGGTATTTCATCCTCACAGCTTCTCCAAGTATACTATAGTCTTCCCCTCCACAATAATCAGTACAAGTATTTTGTAACTTTGCATGATACAGTACATGATAAGTGTGACACAAATGACATGAAATCACACCAAAACTCCCTTAGAATAATTTTAAGATTCCCAAGTCAACGATTTGAAGTTGCTTCATTGCACCTTTAGTCTAGACTGAAGGAAACCAAGGTTCAACTCACGGTCAACTTACTGTGCACAGGTGGTGTAGCACACGTAATTTTAAGCACCTCACCTAACTGGTGACAGATTTCCTTAGCGGACTCTGAAGTTCACAGTGAGGGGAGAGCTAGGGATTCACAGAATGAAATCCACAAGACTACTGTCAATGAGTAACTAAGTGTATCTATTCCACACAGCTACATATAGGCATCTGCATGTTTGCTTCATGTGTGCTCTAAACTGACTGGGTATGAGACAAATTCTATCTGGACACTTTGCAGCTGTGACAGTCTGGCACTATGCCCTAACACGTCACAGTAAGAGGCCTTTCTTGCTGTACTGGCCAATAACCATCATCACTGAGCAAAACGGTATGACTCAGGCCTACTCCTCGACTGGAGTCTTCAAGTCAATTAATATTTAAATTTTTTCATAGTACATTTTAGCTATAAAAAGATTGGAAACCACATTTCTCAGTAACCATACAGAATGCAATGGTTTCAGCAGGAGACACTTTCATCCACTGAGAAACTGGACTTTCAGTTCAGCAGTAATTCCAGGAGGAACATAGAGTATTTCATACACTTACTAGTTATTTTAAGTATGTGTGTTTTAGAGTTACATACCTAAGTGGTACTCAGAAGCACTGTTCCTCTACAGATCCAGACAATAGTAGTTACATCTCAATGTAATTCCAGATGTAATTGTGAGGAGGGCGAAATCTCCAGATGTAACTGAGAGGAGGGTGAACTTTCCACTTCACTTCAGACACCCTAACCAGAAGCCTAATACAGTCTGTTGTATTATAGCTTGAGGCTACAAGGTTTTAATTTACACATCTAACACATCATCCTCTTCCTTTTCTACCTTCCCCCCTGCCAAATAAGGTAAAGGTAATAATGGCTTCCTACTTCACAAGACTGGTACAAACAGAAATCCTTTGAAGACTGCAGTGTAGTCTAATTCTGTACTGAGAGTCAAAAAACCACAACAAAAACCAATAACAAAAACCAGAAAGGACCCTTCAACTCCCCTTTGCATCCAGAAAGCAGAAAAGACAAGAAATGCCAAAACTAAGGCTACACAAAAGATGAAATTATGATCAAGTCTGCATACATGAAGTCATGTACTACCTTTTCCTACCCCATTCAGCACACAGGAGGGATAGTATTCATTGAGTGAAATGCTATTCAGCTTTTTCATAATGATTTAAGGCGCTTTTCTTGTCTTACTAGTTACATATTATTTAAGTACTACCTTAAATACAGATTATTCATTTCCCCAAGGTTTTTATTTTCTTCGTCATGGGCACTCACAACACTCACAGTGTCTAAGCAATTCGCAAACATTAATGAATTTATCATCTTGCAACACTCCTGTGTAGTGAACTTGAACTAGTATTTCCTACATCCAAATATGAGTTAGAAAGAGATTAAGGCCAAAATTGTCAAACACCCACCAGCCTAAGGTGTCAAGTTCAATATAGCAGAAGCATAGTTTCTTAGAGGACTCTAGATGTTCACAATTCAGCTCAATCAACTTCTTTATAGGAGTGAACTCAGTACTTCTGCAGTGGAAAAGGTGGGGTGGAAAGCCAAACACCTCCAAAACTTCAGAGCCCTGTTGCTGCAGTCCCATAGCTCATTCCCTAATGCCTTCCAATTTCTGCAATAAGGTGCCAATCATTACGCTGCCCTAATTCACTCCCTCTGCATTATCTCTCCTACCCACTGAGCAGCACTGGGGTCATATGAAAAAAATAGTGTGCAGTCATGTAATTAAAAACCAAACAATAGCATATATACAAAAGGGATTAAATGAAAGTTGCCCAGGATATCTATTCAGCATTTTCCAACTTCCCAGTTTCCACTTTTGCAACTTTAACATTATTTTAAGAATTCTGAATGCTATCTGAAGAAATTTATAAAAGCAAATGTCCTATTATCTGAAACACCACGAGTCATCAGCAGAGTTGAAAGACAAATCAAAACTCAGATTTACAGCACTAGGGATAAACAAGTAACTAGCAGCTATGGAACATGATCAACATGTATCAGAGGGAGAAGGAAAATATTCTTCCAAGTGGGCTTACTCCTTTTTGCTAGATTCTGAAGGAATTCTACATTCCAGTGGGAAAGTTGCTCTAGCAACTGTAGGCACTTTCACTCTTTTGTTTCCCCAGCATTGTCTCCTTCATTATCCTGTTTCTATTCCAGTCCTAATTCTTCTCACATCCTGACTTCCTGTCCTACTTTTCCTACTTACTTTGTATATTTGATGTGCCCAGTCCTTCCTTCACAGTGGATTTCAGATTCTCACCTACCTAAACTCTGTCCCAGCCCTTATCTCAACTCCTTCCTAAATTCCCATATATGAGTTTCAGTCAGACTACACCCTTTTCCAGACTTCATCAAAGACATCTCTCAAAAAGCTTCTCTCTTGGGATTCAACTTTAAAATTTGGTGTTATAGCAACTCCACTTAGGAGGAAGAGGATTTTAAAGTAAAGATGTCTGTAAATGAAAGCCAATGTAGTTTGGAATAGAGCATGAGGAAGATGCAAGATGTGAAATCTCTATGTTTTCTAAGAGTACAGACAATGCAAATCACATTTTCAGAGTTTTCTCCCAGACTAAAGGAAAATCTCAACCCAGGGTGTACTTTGGGCAGATCTTCATGGCAGAGCCAAGAACTTAGAATTGTCTGTGCCAGGTTACAGTGAACTACACACAGGAACTTAACAAGAGGAAGCTGATGGACAAAGATGCTATATAAACTTAACTGCAGATATTATCACTAGCTTCATTCATGATGCAAATATATTGAAGTGGTTTTGCCTTAAACACTTAATGTTTACTCGGCATGGCTGCCGAAGACATTACCTCTCTGTGCTTGCGAAGAAGATACCTAGAATATATGCAAAAACCCACAAAAGACTTGACAATAGACATATTCAGTCAGTACTCTTAGAACTCTTAAAACCAGAAGACACTGACAGATTCTTTAGAGACAACTCAGTAATTTACACTATAGTTCTCACATAAATAAGGCTTCCATTTCAGAGAATAAATATTATCAAAATGGACAAATTTTAGTGTACTGGAAAGAAGCCTCTGCACAACTGTATCAAGCACACACACCCCTAAATATTTTCACTTGTAAAAGGCAGCTTACTATCCCCACTTCCTCTCTCATACCCATCACTGAGATGTTTAAAAGGAAGCATTTTGGAATAGAATAAAATCTTTATAATAACAAAAAGCTGAAGAATACTTTCATTAGATGTAGAATAATAAAGCATGGCTTCCTATGCAGCCCTGAAGTTTTATATGAAATGGAACTTAGTACCTCATTGTTAGCTAAATCTCTACTAACTTTGAAAACAATCGGTCAATTCAAAATATGGTATTTAGAATTATTATACAAACCGTGTTTTTCTTAGGAAACCAGTGAATAAGAAAACATGAATAACTATATTTTTATAACACTCTAAAGCAATCAAACTGTGGAAAAAAAATGCTCAATCAGTGAGGAAGTGCAGGAACATAGGATTTAATCAAGTCCTTGACATATGATAGGAAGCCAATCACGGATGTGCATATTCCAAAATATTTCATTTTTATATTATTTAGGGCAATGTTCTATCCCCCTCACTTGTACTAGGTGGCATCTAACTCCAGATTTTTCCAATTAATCTCAATGGAGTAACTCAGAGAGGACGGAATAATCTGCCTGCCCATCTGCAAACCCAGAAATAAAGGTGCCAGTCCTTTATTGCATAAGCCTCTAGCTTTCTCTCACTGCAGGCAACTGCTGTTAACTAAGGCTCCTTTTTTCCTCACTCATTATTTGTTTTCATCATTACATGCATTATACGACACTGAATGTTACATACCTTCCACCACCTTCTTTGCAGTTGGGACACGTGCAAGCTACTCGCCGCAGTCTTTTTCCCTCTTGATGTGGTTGGTCCCCTTCCTCATCTACCACCTGTACTCTCAAATGTGTTAGATCATTGGTATTCAGCGTAGAATCACCACTGAGCTGCCACTCTTCCGGATCAGGCTCCTCTTCTTTAATCCTAATATCTGAGGAAAAGAACAAACACAGATCCATAAGTAGCCCATTAAATAGAGAGAAGGAAACCATAATGATCAAATCTTTTTACTGTTGAGAGCACTATGTCAGTCAAAAGTCAACATCCTTTAGTGCATACCGACATTGCTTCTGTGCCCTTGTAACCTGTAACGTATTTAAAAAGTTTACCTTACTATACATTTCAAAGTTGAAGACAAGCTATAACGAAGTATTTAAGTTTGAACTGTTCTTGGTAGGGAATGCTGTCACGAGGAGGATTTTGCTTGCTTGAAACTTGGGAAAAACTGGGGAACAAGAGGTTGGACAGAGGTTGAAAAAATGTAAACGCATGTTTCAAATGATACTGAGTAGCCATTTATGTTTCCACAGGGTATCTCAATTAGTGTGACATGTAGTAGACACAGGCTTTCTTGGTGATCTTCAGAAGTTTTCAGTATGCACAGTGATATATAAAGTAATACAAGAAATCAATTAAATAAAAGGTTTTGACTTAAGAAAGACCAAGACATCTGAGGAAAACAAAAAAAAAAAAATTCATGCCTTTGTTCCATTTTCCCCTTCTCACCTCAAATTTATGCCTTTTCCACTATACACAGAGAAGAAAACATTTAAGGAAGAATGTTATTCAGTATTAGAGAGAGGTATGCAATACACAAACCACATGACGTTTTGATGAGCTAGTAGTCAAAATAGGTCTTCGCAGTTTCGTGCATGCAAAAAGCCCCTTAAGTTATCCTCATAGGATGGACATGTGTACCCCCTCCTCAAGGAGCATGCATTCCATCTAATCCAAGAACTAATTACAGCATGATAGTACACTGTGAAACAATAACCATTTTAACAAATTTACATTTTAATAGGAACATTTTTCCCCTCAGACACTATTCTGGATTCCCAATGAGCTGAAAGTCTGTAAGTCTGGATTTCAAAAAAAGACAGTTTCTATATATCGTTTTAGAAAG